CACACACACAGACACACACACACACACACACACACACACACACACACACACGCCCTCTTACAGCATCCATAAGTGACTGAGACTCTCTTCTAGACACCCACAGGCACAATGTACATTTCATATTTTTAATTTAAAAAGTTCAGATTGTCTATTTTATTTAATTCATTTAATGTACATAATTCACCCACTTGCTGCACTCAATGCCACTTACTGCACATAGTGCCCCCCATGTATATATTCACTTAATGTATATAATGTTCTTCTCTCCCCTTTTGCACAGTCGAAGAGTGTGTCAGGATACATTTCACTGCATGTTGTACTTGTATAACTATGCATGTGACAAATAAAGAATCTTGAATCTATCTTGAATCTTGAGTTTCAAAGTGTTCATGTATGTATTTTGTTACAGTTTTTATGGTAAATAAATCTATTCCTACTGCTTATTATTTCTTCTTTGTTAACAGAAATCTTGGTAAATCAGGGCTCAGAGTATCCTGCCTTGGATTAGGTAAGTATGGTATATATGGAACATATACAAATTTAAGGTGTATTCTGTATTCAGTTTTCTTTAAAATCGTTAGCTTCATAGCATAAGTGCCTAAGTCATTTTTTGGTCAAATTGCATGTGATATTTAAAAATATGCATGTGATATTTAAAAATATGCATGTGATATTTAGAAAATTAGTTTTTTCTTGTTTTCCGAAAACACAAAAAAATGACTTAGGCACTTATGCTATGAAGCTAACGAAATGACAAAATACCCGGTATTCCCTTGATACTGTGTGATAAGTCATAAAAATGTGAATCATTTTAAAAGAAATGTTTTACCATGTTAATTATGACGGTTCAGTATGTCAATTTTCAATTTATAAACTATGGCTGTAGTAATGCTAGCACATTTTAGCAGCTCTGGTAACCTTATTGATGTGATAAATATGAACAGATTTTCTTTCTCTGACTTTTTGGATCAACAACAAGTACTGTAGAAGTTTTGTCTCGTCTCTATCTTGTATCTACTTACTTTTAAGAAGTGTTGAGACATCCAGCAGTTGATGTCATTAGTGCAGCTTATTAATTTGTGGATGGATTTTTTATCATCAGAGGAAAGTGATAAGTAATACTGTGTAATGTAATGGACCGAGGACTGACACAACTGATTGAATTTTTCATTTGTGCAGAACTAAAACTGCGAATTGAAAAATAAAAACTGTTGAGCTGTTGAAATTATTTTTAAAACAGTGAAATACAGATGGGGATGGGGTTGAGTAAAGAGGTATAAGACTTGATGAATGACTGCTTCTTTAGGATTTACAGGTTAGAATGTGAGCATTGAGCCTGTGGCAGTAATTAGATCATTATGTGAGGGAGTGCTAGATAGATTACTATGAGAGGCTAAGATATTACACAAGACACCAATTCATCACACCTATTTGTTGAAAGAAATTCAGTTGGTATGTTTTTGGAGGCATTAAACAGTTTATCAGTGGATGAAGACAAAAAAATGGAATAGACTGGATTTTATTGATCAATTGGGAGATGTAGGATTGTCTGGCTGATTTGATTCCATTGTTGGAGAAGTAAAGTGCATTATTTCTTTTTTTTATTAATTTATGATGATGATGATGATGATTATTGCATCATTCTGTAGGATCTCCAGCAGTGTCTGTTTACCACGTTTACCTTTACATTGTTTCTCTAGGGTGCTTTTGATGAACCACATTCATTAATAGTTTTGACAGGGGCAATGTGGTCAATCATTTGATAAATGGTACTACAGAATGTGTCCATCATTTCATCACATAATTACAGTAGTGTACACTTTGAAAACTCACTGATGAATAAATTCAGCTTTGCTGTCATTGATATGATGCTTATTGACAAATCAATTTGTATTTGTTTTTGACAGATGAATAAAATATTTATGAAAAGAGAAAAATAGCTCACCAATTTCTTCCAGGAAGCCGTGTCTCAGTCTGGGAGGATGATATATAGTAAGCAGTAATACAGCAGGAGAAACTGACATTATAGAATAAATCGACGAAATAGAATTATTAAATCTACATAACTAAATATTTAAAACTCAGATAATTTTCAAGTAGCAAAGTTTTACAATAAAAAAATTTGTTGTTATAAATCACATTGCCCCTCTTGTTTTTATGGATGCAATGTTCAAAAGTGTAATTGGTGGGTGATGCTTCAATCAGCTCTATATTTCCAGTGTCATGAAGCCAGGTTTCAGTAAGAAGCAGTCTGGTCCTGGGCCGAGACCACCTGATCATCTTGCATAACATGTGCAGGCTTAAGTCTGTCAACAGAGACACCCTCCTGCCAACCGCCAAAGTCCAAAAAGAAATGTTTTTCGCCCAGTTTAAGAACGCTGTGTGGCCCGTCATATGGTGGACACAGTCCTATGGGCATCATGCCTGACGAAAACGAAACGAGCAGAGTCCAACGAACTCGGAACAAAAGTGTCAGGCAGGCAGTGGTGCACAGGACCAGGAACAGGAAATGAGTCTCTTGGGGGGCGAAAAGGCAACATAGAGGTATCGAAACACGGGGGGGCTCTCATGTAGTGATGTTCGATTCGTGAACAAATCGTTCAATACTTGAGAATCACTTTACTGACTCGTGAATCATGATTCACAAGCCCAACTGACTCACTGACTCATCCCTGTTGCTGTTAGCAAACTAATTCCATTAGTAGAAATATATCTAGCTTATAATGAAAATTGTGGGGGAAAAACAACAGCCAGTTTCGTAACAAAAGCATTTCTGCTCTGAACTGGAAGAAAAAACCCTGAGTAGGAGCTCACATCAAGAAAATAGCTCCTTGGTTCAGAGTAGCATCGCGCTGCTAACATGCTAACAACACATTTGAGCTACTCACCCCCTCGCTTCCTGTGCTGAATCGTAAGCATAAGCGAATCACTCAGGACTCGCTCACCCCCTCCCTCCTGTGTTGAATCAAAGAGCGAGCGAACGAATCACTCACTCACCCCCTCCCTCCTGGCTCACAGCTTCTCATTCTTCTTGGTTGGCAAACAATGTTAAGGCGCATTACCGCCCCCTGGCTCACAGCGCAGTGGACATTTAGATGAGAAAATATATATTTGACACACTTAAGGAAAATACTAATAAAATACAAATAACCAAAATAAATGTTTATTAAGCAATTTTGATAGGAAGTTGCTTAATGTCAAAGGAGCTTGCAAAGGAAAGCGTCTGGACGCTTTTCTTTGCAAGCTCCTTTGACTACGATGACCTGGATGACTGAGAACCTTCACAGACGTAGAAGTTGCTTAATTTTAGAAATGTTTTTGCTCTTTTTTCTCTATAAAATAGTTTTGGTTTTTTTTTAATCATTCATCTTAGCAGTGGGATTTACATGAAAAGCGAAACAAATTAAGTTTGAGTGAAAATGTAAAATTTTGGCACTCTCTGGTCAACTGACTCAATGAATCAAATGACTCAAATCTGATTCACTTTGGTGAGTGACTCATTAATACTCGATTCAGTAAAAAGAATCAAATTTACCATCACTACTCTCAGGTAAGAATTTCCCGGGGACCCGGAGGGGCTGGCCGAGGGAGACCCCGAGGTCTTTAACCGCACTACTCAATCCCAGTAAAACCCACGGAAGACGGTCGACCCAGTCGCCACCTGTTAAGGAAGCCCAGAGCACGGCCTTCCCGTTAGCTTGCGGGTGGTATGCTGTGGTGCGGTGGACCTTGACCCCCAGGCCATCAGCCATGGCAAACCAAAGCTCAGAAACAAAGTGGGGGGCCCTGTCTGAGGTAATGTCAGCAGGGGGACTGAAACGCGAAACCCACGTTGACAAAAATGCTCTGGCCACTGTCACCGCTGTCGTGGACACAGGGGTACCGCCTCCGGCCACCTGGTCGTGCGGTCCACCACAGTCAAAAGGTGCGTGAAACCCTGTGACTGCAGCAAGGGACCAACCAGGTCCACAATCTACGTGATCGAAACGCCTACCGGGGACACGGAATAGTTTGAGGGGTGCCTGCGTGTGCCGGTTGATTTTCGAGTGTTGGCATGGGATACAAGCTGCCGGCCATTATTTCACCATTTTGCGAAGGCCCGGCCAAACGAACCTGGCGCTGACCAGCTTGACCGAGGCCCGGACGCTAGGATGAGAGAGGGCGTGCACCGAGTCAAAAACACGACAACACCATGAAAGGGGAACCACCGAGCGGGGGCGGCTGGTGGAGACATCGCAAAGCATGTGTGGACCGCCGTCCCACACAGAGGTGTCCTCCAGCACGAGGCCCGTTTTTGTTGACTGAAGGGCAAGGATGTCCGGGTCAGCACGTTGTTCAGCGGACATGGCAGCGTAGTCGATGTCGACATATACCAGAGAAACCAACACGCGTGGGAGACAGTCAGCGACTGGATTGGACTTACCAGTCACATGCTGAATGTTTGTGGTAAACTCTGAAATGGCCACCATGCTGACGTGCGCTCCATGGGTCAGAGACCTTGGACATGGCAAAAGTCAAAGGTTTGTGGTCAACGTACGCAGTAAAGTTGCGACCCTCGAGGAAAAAACAAAAATGTTGTGTTGTGAGGTGCAGGGCCAGCAACTCCCTGTCAAAAACACTGTACTTGCGTTCGGCATCCCAGAGCGTACGACTGAAAAAGGCCAGCGGTTGCCAGAGACCTGAAACCAGCTGCTCCAACAAGGCAACCCAAATGGGCAACATCAATATATCATCCAGGTAAACAAAAACGAACGGCAGCCCGCGCAAAACGGAGTCCATCAGCCGCTGAAAGGTCTGGGTGGCACCTTTCAAATCAGGCCAAATGGCATGCGCAAAATCTGGTGATACCCCCGCACCAAGTCAATTTTAGAAAAAAATCGAGGTTCCGGCAAGATTGGCCGAAAAATCCTGAATGTGGGGGATGGGGTAACGGTCATTCTCCGTGGCATTATTTCAACGCCGGAAATCTCCGCATGGCCGCCACCGAGCGACCGATTTGGGCACTATGTGAAGCGGAGAGGCCCATGCACTGTTCGAACGCTGTACAATGCCAAGGCGCTCCATGGCTGCAAACTCTTCCTGAGCGACGGACAGTTTCGCGGGGTTGAGCCGGTGCCTCAACCCTGTGCTTCGTTACCGTTAGGGTAAGACAGCGATGGAAACTCTAAAAGCAAACGCTGAAAAGCAACCCCGGAGGTCACTACATTAGCCCGAATGAGGGGCTCGGCGGCCCGAGTAAAACAGGGTAGCGAAGAAAACGAGAGAGCACAAACATACTGTGGATGCAGGGGCGGAGGACAGAAGAGGGAGACAGTGAGACAGTGGCGGCCTAAAGAGAGAAGGAGGTATAAGCTGTGTCTCCCATCTATTATATTGGGGAACGTTCTGTCACTAGCAAACAAGATAGATGAGCTAACAGTGCTAGCATGGAGTCAAAGGGAATATAAGGAGTGTAGCTTGATGTGCTTCACTTAATCAAGGACGCACCAGGATACTCCTGATGAAAAC